GGCTACCAGGGAGAAGTTTGGAAGATTCCGCTCACAAAAGAAGTCTGGGGCATGGCCGGGACCTCTACGCACCAATCATCTCCCTCCGCGCGAGAGGCTCGGCCCAAGGCACGCAGCCAGCCGCGCAGGTCCTCCACGGTGTCAGCCGCCAGGACGTAGGTCCTCATGCCCGGGTGCTCCGCCTGCGCAAGGAGGGCGCTCTCAAACAGGGACGTGGTGGACCCGGGCCAAGACCTTGCAAGCCCAGGGACTGGGTCTCCGAGGCACATCCACCTCCAGGGCCCCTCCCAGAGCCAGCACCACGAAGGACGACGGGACTCACGGTGAAGGTGAAACGCCGCCCTCTGGGGGCTCCAGGCCCATCAGGCCGGACACTGTAGCTGGGGAGCAGGACGCTGCCCAGCACGCTCTCCTCGCGGCTGTCTGTAAAGGGGGCTGGCATCAGGGGTTACAAAGGCTTCAGGAGTCCAGGGCGCAGAGGGAGGCGTGGTTGGGGACAGGGCCTTCCCACCCCTTCCAGCTGGGCACTGACCCTTGTAATAGAAGAGGCAGTGGCCAGAGAGGACGAACCAGCGGCGCTTCCAGAGCCGGAGCCCAGAGCTGTCCTGGGGAGAGAGGTGAGAGGGAGGCCTGAGTGGAAAGACTCAGAACTAGAAAAGTGAACCAAGAGACAGAGACCCAAGAGATGGAAGAGAGGCACAAACACGGAGGGGACGGAGATCTTTGAGAACAGCGTCTGAGCCGATGGAGAGAGGTGGTGGGAGGGTGTTTGATGCAATAGATTCACACGGGGAGCCTGAAGTCCGTGTACTGTGGTCCAGTGACAAATTCTGTGGAATTCAAATCCATCTTAAACTGCACGGTGAGACTCTATCTCAACAAACCACCAAAGGAACTACAAACCCCAGGTTGGTTCCTGGGCTCCTCCCCAGGGCTTTTGGATCAATGGAGCTGGCTGGGCCGAATTCTCAGCATTTCCACTGAGTTCTCAAGGGCTGCTGCTGCTGCTGCTGGCCTAGGTACCAGGCTTGCCAGCCATTCAATTTCTCTCTCTTAGCTTGCTCTAGATACAAAAATTTTGGCTCCTGCTCCTACTGGGCCTTTGGGCTTTCAAGTCTTGCTATGCAGTTGGGGCTGGCCTCCAGCTCACGGCAATCCACCTGCTGCAGCCTCCTGAATCCTGGGATTATAGGTATGGCCCATCAGGTCCAGTTATACTTACTAAACTGTGATGCATGCCCCCCCCCCATATCCTTGTATATCAGATTTTTTTTTTTTTTTTTCCCGGAACTGGGGATTGAACTCAAGCCCTTGCACTTGCCAGGCAAGTGCTTATTCCACTGAGCATCTCCCCAGCCCTGTATATCAGACTTAATACTTGATTAATGTCCAACAAATAGTACTGAATGGATGGATGAATGTAACAATGACAGCAGAAGGGGAGAGGCAGGGATAGGGACCCCAGCAGGAGAGAAAAGCAGACAGCCGGGGGCGCAGCCTCCAGCATCCTTCTGTTTCCAGCTCACCCACCTGCTTATGAAGCCAGCCTCGGATGTGCACCGGCAGGTTGGGGTCCCTTCTGAGCGCATTGCTCCTCTTCCCAAAGGCATGGACCCTGTTTATTGCCCGGGTAGGCTTCTGTAGAGAGAAGGGACAGAGTGGGGTTCACTCGGGAGGCGCCTGCAAGTGGTTTCCCAGGACAGCGGGTCAAGGGGGCTGAGTCCTGCACTGGGCACTACAAGCTGTTTTATGCTTTTTTTTTTGGTGGTACTGGGGATTGAACTCAGGGGCCTGCGCTTGCCAGGCAAGCGCTTATTCTGCTGAGCCATCTCCCTGGCCCCTGTTTTATATGCAGAAAGCGAGTACTTGGTGGGTAGAGAGAGAGATTTGGGGCACGTTGGGGCACTCAGGGAAGCAAGGGTTCACTGCCACAAAGGGGGCACCCTTGGTCACAGAAGCCAGGGATGTGGTAGAGCCTTAGGCGTCTGAACTGGGAAGATTGGCTGGGAAGTCCCATCAGCATTCTGTTTCCAGAGAGCAGAAGGCCCAAAGGACGGCTCAGCACTGGCCTGTGACACCCCCAGCAACCATGTCCAAAGTAGGGGTTCAGCTGGGAGTGGTGACGCACACCTGTAATCCCAGCACTCGGGAGGCTGAAGCAGGATTGTTGGGAATTTGAGACAAACCTGCACTACAAAGTGAGCTCAAGACCAGCCTGAACTGCGTAGCAAAACCCTGTCTCCAAAACAAAAAGTTCAGGGGCTGGTGAGATGGCTCAGTGGTCTAAAGCACCTACTTAGCACAAGCTTAGCAAAGCACAGGGACCACAGTTCAATCCCCCAGCACCACATGCCAGCTAGCCCCGCCCCCTGGTGGGCTGAGCTGGCCACACACACACACACACACACACACACACACAAAATAAATAAATAAATAAATAAATAAATAAAATTAAAAAAAAAAAAAAGTTCAGATTCCCCCCCAGCCAACTCAGATGGGGTCGCTACTCGTAGAACAAAGTCGTCAGGTAGTGCCCCTCCTGGAGGCACCACTGGCCAAGGCTGGGATGGAATAGCCAGGTTTTTAACTGGAGGAACTGGAAGTGGCAGGAGGACGTGAAAATGAGTGTCCTTGGGCCTTGGAGATAGCTCAGCAGTCTAAGTGCCTCCCTGGCAGATGCAAGAACCCGGGTTCAATTCCCGGTGCTGCATGCAGCATTGGCCCCACCCTGGACTGGGCGTAGTGGTGCACCCCTGTAATCCCAGCACTGGGGAGACTGAAACAGGAGGATCACTATGAGTCTGAGCTGCGTAGTAAGACCCTGTACCAAATACATAAAAGAAAAAATTTTACAAAGGTTTTTTTTATGTATATTTAGTACAGGGTCTCACTACAAACGTTTCGTCGTTATCCTCCTGTTTTCAGCCTCCTAAATGCTGGGATTACAGGAGTTACACCACTACACCCAGTCTTACCACCACACCCAGTCTTTTTTTTTTTAAAGATTTTTTTTTTTTAATTTTATTTATTTATGTGTATGTGTGTGTGTGGCCAGCTCAGCCCACCAGGGGGCGGGGCGGGCTGGCATGTGGTGCTGGGGGATTGAACCGCGGTCCCTGTGCTTGCTTTCGCTAAGCTTGTTCCAAGTAGGTGCTTCAGACCACTGAGCCATCTCACCAGCCCCGACACACCCAGCTTAATCTCTGTCTCAGAGTGCCCCAGGGGCAGGACCGAACCTGTGTGCCCTGCATCTGCCTAAGCAGGCACTTCAGTGTGCTGAGCTATCTGGCCGGCCCTTTAAAAAAAAAAAAATTTTAATGGGTGTCATTGTTGGATAAGGTGAGGCCAGTGAGACACGGAGATGACAGTGTCTTGGTGATCCTAAAGGGCCTTAATTTCCTAACTGGCTTCATGAGTGGCTAGAGGAAATGGACAGAGGTGGGCCCGTGCGTCCCGTCCTCACCGAGGTGGCCACACAGCTCGGTCAGTAACGAGGGGGCCCCAGCTGGGAGTGGCCTCTGGGTCCGTAGCCAAGGCCAAGCTAGGGTGTTACTCTGGCTGAGAACTAGGAAAATGGGAGGGGTGGGGGCCGAGCTGAGCTGGGAGCGGCTGCGGATTCCCAGCTGCAGCTGCTGAGCCCGTTCTAAGGGTTCTTATCCTCGGTGGCACACAGTAGGGGGCCGGGGCGGCCAGAGCCGGGGCGACCTCCCCACGGCCGCCGGGAACGCGCACCTTGGCGCTCAGGGTGCTGAGCGACGAGACGGTGGAGGCGCTGCTGGCCAGGCTGAGGCTGCTCCGCGGTCGGCCCTCCTCCATCCAGCCCTGGGGACACAGAGAGGAGCTAAGTCTCTGCAGCCAGTCGCGCTGCAGACGGACGGAGACAGGGTCAGGGGCTCAGCGGTCCGAGAAGGCTGAGGAGAAAGAGCCCGTTGTCTGGGGCTGGGGGCCGGGGGAGGCCATGGCCCCGCTGCATGCCGAGAGCTGTGCCAGGAGAGGTGGGCGGCACTGGCAGCTGCGGGGAGGGGGCAGCTGTCTGCGGCCCGGCCTGGAATAGGGGCTCCTTTCTTCCTGCCCACTGGGCTCCTCCAGCCAGGAATGTGACCCTCTCTGTCCTTGGAAACCCCTCTCCCCTTCCCTCTTTCTCTGCCCCAGCTACCTGTGTCCCGCTTCCTCCCACGCGCACCCCCAAACATCCCTGCCAACTCCATAAGCCAAGCCCCAAGGCTCAGGAATGTGCACCCTGGTCCCCCTCTCAGGCCAGAGGCAACTTACCCAATCTGGGGTCCCAGGAACCAGGAGAGGGCGGTGTGGGTGAGGAGCACCCCGGCAGTGTCCCCCTCCTTGGCTCTCAAGCGCTGGATCTCCTCACCTGGTCTCTCCCTTGCCCTTTTACCCTCTTTCCTCTACTATCTTGCTGTTCTCACTCTTTCTCTCTTTTCTTCTCGCGCTCAACTTTTCTTCGAGGTCATCTCTTCCCCCAGTCTCACCTTCTAGTTCTCTCTCCCCTGTCGGCCTCTTCTAGTCTCTTCCCAATCTTTGTTCAGCCCAGACCTTTTTCTCTCAGGTTCAGGGTCTCTGCCTGAGAGTCTCTCTGGTTCCTTCCCCCCTCTTCTCCCTCCTCAAGGTCTCTGTCTCCCCCTCAATCTCTCTGTCCCCCATCCACCTTCCAGTTGTTTCCTCCCTTGTCTCTTTTGCTTCTCACTTTCTCTCTTCCTCCAGTTCCCTTTCTCTTTCCTTTCTGCTGGTCTTTCCCTTCCTCTGCCACCCTCCCACGCTGTTGTCTCCCCTCCCAATCCTGGCTGTCCCCGCCCCTGCTGGCTTCTCCACCAGGGCCTGACCCCTGGCTCCCCGGCAGCTCAGGGGAGGGGCTAGGGCCCAACTCCCTCGGGGCTGCCAGTGGCTGGGACTCCTTGGAGTTTGCGGGAGAGGCTGGATTTCAGAGGGCCCAGTGGAGCTATTATGGTTAGGGTCTGGGCCACTGGCCCCATGATAAAGGGGACTTGGTCTGGCCAGGTCAGAGACTAGCACTTTGACACCAGAGGCTGGAGAAGAATTGGGGTTACTATTTCAGACTTGTGGGTGCCCAAGAAGGTGGGAGCTAGGAGTCAGGACTTTTGACCTTCTATGAGCTAGGTATAGAAGCACAGCTTTGGATGAGACAGGGGGGTGGGAGTGGGGTGGGGTATCAGTCCAGGTCAACAGGGAGAAAGGGCTGCTCCCAGATTTTGGTTCCTATTAACAATGAATCTGGCCCCCAGCACTTGAGAGGCTGAGGCAGGAGGATCACTGCATATTTGAAGCCAGTCTAGGCTGCATAGTAACTTCAAGACCAGCCAAAAATACATATTGAGACCCTGTCTCAAAACAAAGCAAAAACAAAAAGAATCTGGACTCTTCAGTACTACCTGGAGCAAATCCCTTTATTCCTAACACTGTTTTCTCATCTATGAATGGGAGAAATGTCCCGTTCTCCCATTGAGGGAGGGAGATAACTTGAGGAGGATGTCAGTCACGTGGTGGGAAAATCTAGGTTAGGGCCTGCTGCTTAAATTGGGATGGGATAGCTTGGGACCAGAATGCGGCTTTTTGTTTTTGTTGTCTTTTTGAAACAGGGTTTTACTATGCAGTCTAGGCTGGATTTGAACTCACTATGTAGCCCAGGATAGCCTGGAACTCAGATATCTTCCTGCCTCAGCCTCCCAAGTGCTGGGATTATAGGAATTTTTCACCATGCCTGGCCCCACTGGCCACCCACACGGGGTAAACTCATGGGGCCTTGGGGCTTGGCTACGCTCCAAAAAGCACCATGACGTCCCAAAGCGCGGAATGTCCCAGTAAAGTCTGGGTACTTTTTCCATCTCTACCCACAAGGGCCCTGACGTTCTGAAAGCCCCGCCCCTCGCCGTGACGTCAGTGCGTCAGCGGAGCCGGAGCATAAAGGGCGGACTGCGTCGCTGCTAATCCGACTTGGTCTCAGCGGTGTCGACGATTGCATGCAAGATCCCAAGCGCTTCTACGTTCGTTTGTCGCGACCGCGCCTGCGGCATCCGTGACATTAAAGCCCTCCAGGTCGACGTCCGAGGCGAGATGAGCGCGCTGGCCTCCCGAGCCCTCCGGATCTGTGATCGCTTCTGGCAACCTGAGCCCGCGCTCCTGCCCCCCGGCTGACGCGCAACCCCGCCGGTGAGTGAAGGGATCGGACCCCAGAGAAGACGGGTCGGGGCTGGGGCTGGAGGCTGGGGCTGGAGGCTGGGGCTGGGGCTGGGGCTGGGGCTGGGGCTGGGGCTAGGGCTGGAGGCCGGAGGCCGGAGGCCGGAGGCCAAACTCCGGGTCCGTAAAGAGGACTCTTGGAGTCTGGAGGATTCAGGCCAGAACTCCTAGAGCCTGGGAAGGAGAGACAGGGAGCCTGGACTCTAGGGTCTGGAGAGAGGCCAGAAGAGGCCTAGAATGGCGTGCGGCCCCGGACTCAGGCAGGGCAGGGTGTCGGAGCCTGGATTCTAAGGCTGAGGAAGGAGGGGCGTGGCAGCTCGGATGCTGGGGTCCCTAGGGAAGGAATCCTCCAGGGGTCAAAATATTTTCCTTAACCAGGAGAGAAAGGTGTTGGAAACATGTCCTGCCCTTATGGGTGAGAGAAATGTAGATTATGACTTGGTCCCCAAGGAAAACAAGTAAAGATCTTTGTTCTTAGGGCTGGAACTAGGAGGGAGGGGCCAGGGTGTAGACTTTTGGTTTGTTTTATCTTTTTTGAGACAGGGTTTCACTATGTAATTCAGGCCAGCCTTGAACTCACTGTGTAGCCTGGGTTAGCCTAAAACTGATTTCCTGCTTCAGCCTCCTGAGAGCTGGGATTATAGGCATGGGCCACCAGGTCGTGGACTTCTGGATCAAAGGAGGAGAGACCTGGGGGACCCTGAGTCCTGGGGATTTAGGGGAGAAGCTAAAGAATGACAGGAATGGGCGTACCAGGATTACAAAGGAACTTGAGGCAGCATTACTCACGTTTATGTTTGTGTTGCTATTTTCCTGGCTATGACTCAGGGTCATCCCCTGATGCCTTTCTCAAAATGGCTCTTAAGCTTTAGTTCTTTATTTATTTTTTCCTCTGCTTCAGCCCAGACAGATGGCCCCAGGCCAAGTACCTCATCACACAAGGCCCTGGCTAGATGCCCAGGCCTTGTACCTGCTCTCCCCACTGATGGGCTTCCTGAGCCGGGCCTGGAGCCTCCTGAGGGGCCCAGGACCCCCAGAGCGCTGGATGGTAGAAGCCGGAAGAGGAACAGATGAGTTAGAAGCTGGTGTGGAGGGAGAATCCAAGGCTTTTCCTGCAGGCCCCCATTTCCTGAAGTCTCAAAACCCACAAGGCGAGGCTGAAGACAGCAGAGCCCCCAAGGAGGATGGAAAGGCGGCGGCAGCAGGGACCAGCCTTGACCTGGAAGCCAGCAGTTCTGCCCCGGAAGCCTGCGGACTTGGCCGTGGCCACTGTGGAGAGTACAGGACAGAAGCAGCAGCCAGGCAGCAGCCAGGAGAATTCACTTGTGGCCAGCCTGTGCTCCTGTTCCCTGGTCTGCTGCTGAGTGCCCTGCAAGGTACTGATAAGAGCCCCGGAGACCAACAGGCCGAAGAGGATGGAGAGACCAAGTTGGCTTATCTGTCTTCACACTACCAGGGTGGTCCTGCCAGGGAGGAGCAGGGGGAGGATGCAGAGGCTGTCAACAGAGCCGCCACCACCACTGCTGCCTCTGCTTCCCCATTGGCCCCAGGACCCAAGCCCAGCACTTGGCTGTGCTCTTCTGGGGAGGAAGAGCAGCGAGCCACGGAGGACAGAGAAACAGAAAATATAGAAGTCAGGGAATCCCCTACTTATTCCCCATGGTCAAGCTTAAGCTCTGGGGCCTGGCAGAGTTGCTCAGGAGAGGCTGCTGAGAAAGGCACAGAGGCCAGAGAAGTAGGTGAGAGAGGAGACGCTGACCGGGAGCCATGGCCCTCGGTTCCCCGCCTGGGGCTCCTGCTCTGGCCCTGTGAGGATCAACCCGGAGAGGACACAGAGGACGAGGGGGAGGAGGAGGAGGAGGAAGAGGAGGAAAACAAGTGCTATGATTCGGTATCGACTGAGGAAGAGGTAGAAGCTGGAGATTCTTCTACCCCCACCACAAATACCTTTCTGAGGGACTGGGTATATCGGCCTGGAGAGGACACAGAGGAGGAGGAGGAGGAAGAGGAGGAGGAGGAAGAGGAGGAGGAAGATGACAGAGATCTAGGATCTGCAGAAGGGGGAAAAGCTGATGTTTCTCCAGCCACCCTTGGCACCAGCACCTTCCTGAAGGCATGGGTGTATCGGCCTGGAGAGGACACAGAGGAAGAGGAAGGGGAAGACAGTGAGTCAGAGTCAACTGAGGAAGGTGGAAAAGCTAGCGCTTCTGGTACTGCTTCCTCCACCCTCAGCACCAGCACCTTCCTGGGGGCCTGGGTGTATCGGCCTGGAGAGGACACAGAGGAGGAAGATGAGTGGGAGGAGAACCAGGACACAGGAGGCGGCTCTGGAGCAGCTGAGGGCAGAGAAGCCGGCTGGGGCCCAAGCACCTCCTCTCAGCTCCATGGTGTCCAGCCAAGGGCCTGGACAGCACCCTCTGGAGATAGGGCAAAGGAAGAGCACCCAGCTGAGGCCAGGGCTGGAGCTGAGACCCGGCCCCTTGCCGTGGCCATCTATGTTCCTGGACAGAAGCCCCCAGCTCCTTGGGTCGCTCCTAAGCTGCCCTTCCGACTGCAGAGGAGGCTGAAGTTGTCAGAGACTGTCCCCCAGGATCAGGACCCTGAGGCTTCCCCAAAGGACAGAAAGGTGGGTGCTGTTGTGGGCCTAGATTCTTTAGGGTTTTTTTTTTTTTTTTGTGCTAAAATTGCCCTGAAGGTAGATACACGGAGAACAGGTTCTGGAGTCAGAGAGACTGGGTGAGACTCCTGGGTCCCCCGTGGGTTACAGGGGGTTGCCTCACCCTGGGCTGGGGCTGAGGTCACTATCCTGCAATCCTCTTGCAAGCCACTGGGCCCCCTGGGCCCCTATGGGTACATGGGGAGGAGTGGCTTGTGGCAGCCCAGAAACTCCCTGGCCCCTGGGAAAGTCAGACACTTGTGGTGCAGTGAGTGTATGTTGTAGTTAATCCCACCCTGTCACTTCCTGTGTGGGTTCCTGTGTTCTTGTGAGTCTTGCATGTGAAAGCCTGCGTCTGTCCATTCCCCAGGTGCGCTTCTCTGAGAAGGTCACTGTGCATCTCCTGGCTGTGTGGGCTGGACCTGCCCAGGCTGCTCGCCGTGGCCCTTGGGAGCAGCTTGCCCGGGATCGTAGCCGATTCGCGCGCCGCGTCACCCAGGCTGAAGAGGAGCTGGGCCCCTGCCTAACCCCTGCCTGGCGGGCCCGAGCCTGGGCTCGCCTTGGGAACCTACCTAGACCCCCATCCCCTGTCCCTGCCAGGGCCCCAGTCCAGGCACCGCTGTTTATCAAAGCCATGGCCACACCCTGTCCCTCTCCTCCAAAGTGTTGCTGTAGATCAGGAATAAACCCTTCTGATTTGTAGTGAGCGAAGTCTCTTTTATTTATTTATTTATTTATTTATTTATTTATTTGTGTGTGTGTGTGTGTGTGTGTGTGGCCAGCTCATCCCACCAGGGGGCGGGCTGGCTTGCATGTGGTGCTGGGGGATTGAACTGTGGTCCCTGTGCTTTGCTTAGCTTGTTCTAAGTAGGTGCTTTAGACCACTGAGCCATCTCACCAGCCCCAAGCGAAGTCTCTATGTGTGGTGACTGGGCCCTATTCCTGGGTGGTCTTACGGGGAGCGGGGTGCAAAAAAGCCTGATTCCCTGCTGGAGGGCAAACCACATTTCCAATCACCTCCCTATGTCTGGTATACATGTGTATGTATTTGATACAGGGTCTTACTACTGAGAGACTCTGTTGCTCTGCCTGTTTGCAGCCTCCCCAGCACTGGGATTACTCTCAGTGGCCTGTGGTGCCAGGGATTGAACCTCAGTCCCTGTACTTACCTAAGCAGGTGCTTTAATCACTGAGCTAGCTCTCTGGCCCTGCCCTGATGGATTTTTGTAGGTTTTCTTTAATATCTGTCTATGTATCTTTAGCTTGAGACGGCTACCTCTCCAGGGGAGCTTGAGCTTAGCTCATTGACATATGAATCTTTCCCCACAGCCTCATTTTCTCCCATCCAGGTACTAACCAGACCTGACCCTGCTTAGCTTCTGAGATCAGACAAGATTGGACGTGTTCAGGGTGGTATGGCCGTAGATAACACAGCATTTTCTGATGAATTTCTCAAGACCTTCTGTTGCCCGATTTAATGCTTAGCACCTCTAGGCCTGTAGACTCACTTTTCTTACATCCAATGATACTACCAAGTGTACATCCTTCACAGATTGTGTGGCCCCAAGAGTTAATAAAATGTCCATCAAATAAGGCCAGATAAACAGCTCCACGTGTACCTATAATCCCAGTGCTGGGGAGGCTGAAAAAAAGAATCATTAGGAGTCTAAGCTGTGTAGTGAGACCCTATACCGAATATATTTTTTTAAAAATTTCTCTTAGGGGCTGGGGAAATGGCTCAGTAGAATAAGCACTTCCCTGGCAAACACAAGGGACTGAGCATTCAGGCTCTGGTTCTGCAAAAACAAAACAAACAAAAAAAAATTTCTGAGCTTTGGGTGTATGCAGTTCCAATGGGTTGGTGAAGCATGTCACCAGGTGGCCTTTCTGTTTTCCTAGCTCCCTATATTCCTGCTGCACCAGGCCTCATTTCTACCTCTAATACTTGTTGTTTTATTTTTTGAGAGATAGAGGGGGGTCCTGCTAAATTTCCCAGGCTGGCCTCAAACTAGATCATCCTGCTTTGTCTTCTTGAGTACCTGGAATTATAGGTATCTCGTAACAGGGAGTGTATAACTTTTTCTGAGATGGCCTCCCTATGTTGTAGTTTAGGCTGGCCTTGAATTCATGGGGATCCTCTTGCCTCAGCCTCTTAAATGCTGGTATTTGCTGTGCCACCACACCAGCTTCCAGATTTTTTCTTAAGTGTTTTTGTTTTGTTTCTGTTACTCATTACTAGGGGTACAAACCAGGTTCATCCTTAGTCTCACCACCTAAGCTCAGAACTGCCCTCTGCCTGTCAGCCCTTTCTGTGGAACCTGCTCCTGCCTAATGTTCCCACACAAGCCCTCCAGCTCCACCACTTCCTTCTGAGTGGTCCAGTTTGACAGTGACCTTTTCCTTTTTTTTTGTTGTTTTGGCGGAACTGGATATTGAACTCAGGCCCTTGCGCTTGCCAGGGGAGCGTTTATTCCACTGAGCCATCTCCCCGGCCCTTTTTTTTTTTTTTTTTAAGTTGTGCTGCTCTAATCCAACAGACCAACCGCATGTGCTTTTCTAATCATTTTTGGTGATGAAGGCTCATCTCTCTGACACCTTTGTGAGGCCACTCCACAGCCCCAGGAGGGTGGTACATACAGGCAGAGTCTAGTGTGATTACTGAGATGGTGCAAAAAGTCACCTCAGAGCCCTTTCTTCAAATGCATAGGCACAAAATCCAGAGAAACAATGGTAGTTTATTGTATCATACACAGACCAGCTTCCCATCAAAACTGGACAAGCAGATGGCAAATGCTTGGAGTGGGCAAAGAGGGAAGCAGAAGTCCATGGTGAATGTATTTGGAGCCACGCGGCCAAACTGCAGCACCACTTTGTCGGCTGCAGAGAAAATAGCTGAGTCTTAGGTAGAGCCCCTCAGGCTTCTCTGCCTCTGAGCTTCGGAAACTCAACCCCTTAAATTAGGGGCCATTCTCGGGGCCTGTGAACTACAATTCCCAGAAGCATTGCAATAGGCACACTCTCAAGGGCTTATGGGAGTAGTGGTTCTTCTGCGCTGATCCCCCCCCTCCCCCCAGGAGGTTCCAAGAGCTCACGCTTATTGGGGTAGATGATCTGGAAGTTCTTAACCGAGGCCCGAGTCACTCGCCCGTGAAAATTGAGCACGAAGGCGTCATTCTCATCACTCCACACCGGTGTTTTGTTTTGCAGTAGGACCAGCCCCTGTCTGACACCTCTTTGGAAGCGACTCAGTAGCGATTCCTCTTCCTTGGAACATAAAGGGGGCATGGCACGTTAGACTGCACCAGCCGGCTTTAACACAGAACTTTTGTGCATAGCCTTTACTGCAAGGCACAGGGATCTGGCAGAGTCCCCTAGGCTTCCCAGGGGACTTGCAGCCCACCAACCCCCTCCTCTCTGGGCATCTGCGATAGCAGCCTCTTGACATCTGTGGACCCAGAGATTCGCAACCTCGGGAACTTACAGTTTCTGGCTGGACCCTGATTCTCTGGTTGTGGCTGTTGACTTCTGGAATGATCACAGTCATTCTTCGAGGTCCCCGAGACTCCCAGACATTGGGTTCCTGGGAGAATCAGATTCCAGTCGTGCTGGCTCTGTCTCTGTCCCCCATCTGCCTCAAGCCTCTTTCCTATCCATTCTAAGGGCTCCCTCTTCAACCCCCTCAGTCCTCTGCGGGACACTTACATAGCACACCGTCCCCAGTTCCTGTCTAATGCGGGTCTTATCCAGGTAGGAGTTTTTCTCTTCAGGATTCACCCCATTGTCGAAAATGATGAACTTGGTGCCCAAGATGTTGGACCTGCCCCAGGCCGGCAGCAGAGAGAAGAGTAACATTTGTCACTGCTAGACTGTACCTGAAATGCTTCAATTTGATCCCCTAAGTACAAGGTCAGGTTCCCTATCTTCTACACACTCCACCTTATAGCCTCCTCCTTTGGCCCTTCCAGAACTGGGTTCCTCCTAGGATGCATGAACTCGCACATCACAGTCCCTTATTTCTTCCCTGCCTCATTTCTCACCACACATCAGGGCTCCGCCCACCTGAGTTTGCCCACAAAGTTGTCCCCATCCCGGGATAGGTCCATGGGATCCAAGGAAATGAGATAATTTGAAGTTTTACTCCATTTTCTCTTGCGCCCAGCCAGGAGGAAGTGCTGTGGATTTAAGGAACAGCCCATCAGAATGGATTTCTGGGGCTAGCCAGATAGTTCAGTGGATTAAAGCACGCATGGACCAGGGTTCAATGTCGGAGTGCCAGTGCCGGCCTCGTCCCAGGGGGTAGGGCACGCTGAGACTGTGACTGAGACTGGGTGTGGTGGCGTGTGCATGTCTGAAATCCCAGCGTTTGGGAGGCTGAAAACAGTAGGAACACTACGAGTCTGATCTGTGTAGTGAGATCCTGTAGACCCTGTACTGAAGACATAAAAAATAGGTCCAGGGAGATGGCTCAGTAGAATAAGCGCTTCCCTGGCAAGCGCAGGGGCCTCAGTTCAATCCCTGGTTCTGCAAAAATAAGCAAACAAACAAACAAACAAACAAATAATTTTTTAAAAAAGAATGGATTTCTGAGATGTGGGCAGAGCTGGGAGTCCAAGACAAGGAAATGCCCTGTACCATGACAAAAGAGTACACTAAATGACCTCGTGGGGGAGCCATACCCTGGGGCTTGGGGGGTGAGCAGCTTTGCCTCTCTGCCCTCCTCCTCTCCACTCATGCCAGCAGGGCCTGGCTTGGAGAATAGGGAAGAGTGGCCTGAGGTCCCGCAGCAGGACTCAGCACTCATCATGGGAAATGGGTCTGGACTCGAGCAAGTGAAAAGCCTCTTTGCAGGAGAGAGGAAGAGGGGGAAAAGGGGAGAAAGGAAGGAAGAGGGAGAGGAGAGGTGGCTACCCTGGGAGGGGACTGGGCACACTGGCAGGCCTGGCTTGGCCTAGGGGTGGAGCTTATCCCAGAAATGGGCCGGGCCTCTCAGCCCAGAGGTTTCCTGGGGGAACTGAAGCGCAGAGCCTTAGTGGACAGGGCTTAGTGGGCGGGGCTGTAAGTCATTAGGGGCGTGGTCTGGCTCTGAAATAGTTGAGCCCAAAATAATGGGCCGGCTTAGTGTTGTGGTGGGCATCACTAGGAAACTGCAAGAATAGCAGCGGCGGGGCTTGGCGTTGGAATGAACAAGCATGACTATGTCAAGCGGTCTGGATTCCTGAAAATCTTGACCTTTGCTGTGGAAGGGGAGGAAATGCTCCTGGACCTCACCTTCCAGCCGTTGGGCGCCTCCAAGTAGAGGTAGTACACCGGGAACAGGCCCTTCTCCAGGCCCCGCTGGTCCCGGCAGATGCAGCACTGCATCTTGCAGCCCTCCAGCACCGGCCGCAGAATGTATGACTTCAGGTCCTCGCCCGGCTGAGGGATCAGTTCCGGAGGGGTCGAGCTGGCCATGGTCCCTACCAGGTGGCCGTCATCATCCTCCAGGGCCCTGGGCACTTCCTCATGCTCCTCCACCGCTCGGGAGTTCATTGTCCCATAGTGCAACTCCTCTTGCTGCTCTTCCAGGTCTGTATTCTAGCTCATGACAAATTCAACGTTAGGGGGAACATTTAGTCTCAGCCTTGCCAACTAGTGATTGGTCAGCCCAACTCAAGGCCACGCCCTCCTGTCACCTATGGTTTCTGCTTATTGGTCCAGCATCTGACTCACCTCACCTGTGTACATCTGTTGATTGGCTAACTCCATTAGCTTCTCCCCCTCAGCGGCCTCCATTCCACCATCTGATTGGAGAATCACTGAGAGCCCTGCCCATTCCCCTGAAACCGTCCTTAGATAATGCACAGACCTGCCCAGTGAGACTACTGCATGTTCACCAACACCGAAGTAGTGTCTTTCCTGTCCCCTCTAACTGGGCCGCAGAATTGTATCCCACCTTCCCTGGATGTCTGAGGCTCTCTCTCCTCTTTCTATACTCTTAGCACAGGGCCCCATCCCACCTTGCAGAATATGTCTCCATGTCTTCTCCTGTCACCATCCATTCCACAGGCTGATCCCCAGCCGGACGCGTGGTATTCATCTTCCATAGCTTGGGGTTCACTATGGTGGTAGGCACTTTCCACTAAGGGGGAGAGAAAAGGCAGGAACTGAGCGCAGTGTGCCGGGTGCCAGGAAGTTGGGTCAAGGTCCTCAGTGCTAGATGGTGCTGCCAGAACACCTGGGTTCTCAGCAAGCCTCATTCATCACCACTGTCCGTGTCACACCCTGTCTGCCTCTATGTGCACGGGGTGCCAGGACTGAGAAGTCCTGACATCCTCTAGCCCCAGGACTGGGAAGGGTGAGAGTCCCCTACCTCACTCCACCCCACAGTAGACTCAGGGCCTGGGGCTGCTTGGCTAGTGCTGTGCCACTACTCGGATCCTAGAACCACCCACTCCTGGCTTTCCCTTGTCCCATCCAGGGCATGAGAGAGACAGGATGTAATGTGCAGGGGAGGACTGGGGATGCTAATTAAGAATCCTATGGAGGGGCTGGTGAGATGGCTCAGTGGTCTAAAGCACCTACTTAGAACAAGCTTAGCAAAGCACAGGGACCA